CGCCGCTCTAGCGGCAAAATTCATGTAATTCTCGGAATTGGCGAGAAGAAAGGGTTAATATATTTTTGATTGGCTACGGAATCTGAATGAGGTAGTATGCGAAATCGTTTCGAAAAGTCATTTCACGTGCATATGAATATAAAATCATATGCCAACTTTAGAAAATATCTCATCATTTATAAATAAACATATGTCATCAGATTCTAAAAAACCTTTTATTCATATTTACGGAAATAGTCAGAAAATATATGGTTAAGATAATTTTATTTTTTGTTCGTCATGACTATTCATTCTCATTTTCACGAGTATCACTTTTATTTTCATTATGTTCGATAACTTTCTTTAAATTCAAGTTTAGCAGAAATCATGAATATTCCACGATTTTGTAAAAAAAAATATTACTTAAAAACCGATATCATTATTTTCTAAGATATCTTGAATAGTTGTTTTTAGCAAAGTAATGTCTATATAATAATAAAACTGGGAGACTATAATGATCATTGACTTTTCTGATTGTTAGACATAGACGACCTGGTCTAATATTAGAATGTTTTATTAGACCGGTTTGCTAAAAATAGCTCGCCACACGTACATTTTGCGCAAACGGATCTAATTTTTGCGTGTAAGTCTACATTTAATAAGCTCATGTTAATTTAAATCATCGAAATATGATTTATAATATATAATCAAAATTAGATGTGTATTACATTCGAAATAGATTTTTTCAAGGTAAATTGGTCGTAACTTATCTAGAGTTCAAGGGCTATCAAAAGCATAATGATCAAATTACACTTTAGCAAATTTTAATTACTTCTGGCAAATCTAATTATTATATATATATATATATGTATGTGTGTGTAATGGTGTATGAAAAGACAATCCTCCTAAACGATTATTCGGATTTTGATACATCTTTCTAAAGTTTGTTAAGGGAATTTATAGAAATATAGTTAGATTGTAGAAATAAATGAAAAAAATAAAAAAAACGCTTATCATTGTTTGACATTGAAAATATTTGAGGCATTATTTGATATTAAAACAAATGAAGACCGTCATCGGCCAAACATTTCAATTCACTTATAGGCTAAGACAATATTAAAATGATACCCCTCTTATGTTATTTTATAAATGGATGCATACATTCAAATTCACTGACACTCGTCAACTTTTAAACAGCCCGAAGGAAGAGTTGTTCTCCAGAAAATCCAACAGGGTGATATTATTTTCTCGGCTTTTCAAGCCCGTCCAGATTGTTTAAAATCAAATTTACAAAAGTGCAAAATCTGCAATAGTTTCTTGCATTGTGTTGCTCTATGGCAATTGGGTTTTCTTATAAATTACTCATAAATTATGTTGATTTTTCATGTGGATAATCCACACACGTCGGAAAGCAACCTGCCTTAAAGCAAAATGCCACTTACACCTAGCTTTTTAGTTAAAAAATTATGTCCTTATGATACAATATAACCATATCTAAATTTATAAATTCTATCTCATGTTGTCAAGAGTATGTCTATAAAGTCGGTGTGTCTGGTCCTCGTCTCCTGATTCCAGGTCAACGTCTCTTCAAAGAAAATGACGTATCCAAGAACTTCAAAAACAATAAACCCAATAACCTCGTACTGACATTTATTGCGAAAAACTTTCATGCGCATATTACGACTAAAGGCATCTATTGTTGGCAAATTTCGATGCTAATAATACAGCTTTCAAGAGTTCAATAGCAACGTTCAATAGCAATTTAAAATACATATTCTGTGGAAGCCAAGGTGGAAGAAATTTTCTGAACGTACTCCATTTGTTCTCATCAGTTTGATTTGTCGAGGATGTTTGAATATTGAGCTTTTTTGGGAGCGGATCAATGGCCGGCGGTTTTGTACCGATCGCGGGATAACTCCAAGTTAAATTTAGACACATTTTTTTCAATTTATGAAAAGTGCATTCAACTCTAGACCTGCTCAATTCTAAGTACCCCATTAAATGTAGTCGTTATTTTATTAACAGTTTTTATTTTTGGTTTTGAACTTCACAATATTTTTGTCAGAAGTATATAATAAATTACTTTTTCAAAACTTGTAGTGTTCGCCACAAGAAATAATTTAAAACTAGTGATGCATGGCATCGTGCCTTAAGGCAAATTGTTGGGACTTCCCGTACCGAAAACTAAAATATTAAAAAAAACTTGCCAACATTGAACAAATTAGATTTTTGAGAAAATTCAATTTTTTTGCAAAATTTTGACTTTTTTGAAAAATTAGATTATTTTTGTAATTCAATTTTTTTTGCATTTTGATTTTATTTTGAAAATTTTGAACATTTTTTTAAGCGATCGTGCTGCATAGCTGATTCGTAGTCAAAATATCAAAGCGTGTAGAGTGTAAACATTGGTACGGAACCTGCCTTTACAAAAATTTTACCACTTGTTCATTTTGTCAATACAAGTAAACTTTTTTAAATTATTCAAATCGGTTGATCCGCGTTTGCAAAATCGTGACAAAAATTTGTATCCGCACACGCGCACACACACATATACACACATACACACACACATACATTCATCCATTTTTACTAAGGAATGCCAAAATGTTCAGAAACCTCTGAAACGTGAAAATATATACATTTTTTTAAAAAAATTTTGCCATCGCTATAACTTACCCTACTTAATCATTTGCCTTCACTATAACTTACCCTACAAGAATTTAAAAATATAAACTTATCGCGGAAATAAGTTTATATAGATTCTATATTATGCAATGAATATTTTACAACCATCAGATTTAGACTGTTTTTTTGAAAATTCTTACATAGCTAATAAAATCTGAATGAAAATGAAAACTGTTAAAGTCCAGAAAAAATATGAAAAAGCACTCATAAAATACTTCCTTCTCTTTGAGAATTTGATCTTTAGACGCAATTTTTGTACGTGATATTAACAAAAAATAAAGAATATTAGTTACTTGAGAATATTAATTAAAAGCAACTGCCATACATCTCTTTTAGGATTTAACAATTTAATTCAATATAAACTTTATTAAAATCTCCGGTATATAGCATCGTATTTAAAAAAATATCTTATTGCATCCGTAGTCTAGTCTTTGAAAACTTTGAGTCAACATATTAATCAAATTTATTGTTTTTATAGTATTATTTTATTATTATTTATTTTTCAGAAATTTTATTTATTTTATTTATTAATTTTATTTTTATTATTATTTGCTTTTATTGTATATTAAACTTTTATCATTTTAATGTAAATTCTATCCTTTGTACTCTTATTTATTTAAATTCATGTTATTATTTATTATTATTACTATATGTTAAATTATTTAACAGTTGTAATAAATATTGTGATTAAAAAAAATATTAATCAAATTTTAATAAACTTATTTTATTAATCAACTATTGATTAAACGATTTACTTGCTACAAGAGATTTCCTAAATTTATAATACAGATATCACATATCGTTGAGCAAATAATCTATCAATCATTCTTTTATTCTATTCTAAAAAAAACTTTTAGCACTATTGTATATCTATTTGCACAGCGAATATAATTTGTAATCATATGTCAAAGCTTTCTTTTTAAAAGTAGTCACACTTATTCTTTAAATACTGCAAATTTCAGCAAATATTTTGCAATTGTTTGCTATTTGAAATGCTTTACTGCATCTTTACGTTTTATAATCAATTCATTCCT